GATTCTCTAAATTGTGTCTTTATCCATGCCCTGACACCCAGCTGTTTAAATTGCTGCTGCTTTATGTTTTGTTCTGAAATTTGGTAGGGCAAGTCCTGTACTATTCTTCAGAATTGTCTTGGCTACTTTGTTTCTTTCTAAGATCAGCTTAAATGACCAGGTTCAGCAGAACCTTGAATGCCATGTCACTGACAGTTTCAAGCAAGGAGATGACATGGTCCGCATTTCATTTTTCACACTCGTGAAACTATATTGGGGTTGGATTAGAGAAGATAAGACTAGAGGCAGGAAGAAGAAAGTGTGGGGGCCCAAACCAGTCTGTGACAGAAGAGGTGGGCAGGGAGGGGGTGTGCAAAATCTGGGGGACATAATAACTGTGTAAGGCAAGTGCAAGGGGGAGTGACAATAGTCTGGGAGGATTCCTGCCAGGGACAAACACACACACACACACACACACACACACACACTGTTCCTGGCCATGTGACTAAGTGACCAACAGTGACTCCAGCCAAAACTGGAAATACAGGAGGAGGCACACAGGAGAAGGTTCAGCCTCGGCAGTGCTGAACTTAGGGTGTCTTAGGAAAGGTCAGATGGACAAAGCATGCCAGGAGATGGAAATGTAAGTCTCAGACTCAGAAAAGAGGACTGCAGTAAAAATTTAAGAGTCAGCAGCATATCTGGTCAAATCAAAAACAGGAGCCAAAGAAGGAGGCCTGTGTAGACAACTCCAGCGTGAGAAGCTGTCTGAGGATGAGGAGCTCATGGAGAAGACAGGGTGACAGTGATTGAAGAGGTGCAGAGAGAAGCAGGAGAGGGTGGCACTGTGGCCACCCAGGAAGTGAAGCATTTTCAGGAGCAACCCCTAGCATCAGGCACCAAGGGCTCTGGTGAGAAGGCCATGAGTGCTCGCTGGTTTGGCAGGAAGGAGGTCAGTGGAGGTATCATTAGGTACAAAAGTCAGATTTTAGTGACTTGAGTGAGTGAGAAGAGGAGAGGAGCACAGACCTTGATTTGAGAAAGCATGGCTGCCTGGGAAAAGCTCTGGGTGAGGGGACCCGAAAAAGAGACTCCAGTGTGTCTGTAGGCTGGGGGAAGGAGCCAGAGAGAGAAGGGGAAAGTGCTGCAGAGAATTCTCAGAGGAGACAAGTCAGCCCTGGACAAAGGAGCCCCACCCGAAGGCCAGTGTGAGAGACAGGCCAAATCTGACAACCAGTTTTCTCCCTGAAGTAGAGAGTGGTGTTGTTTGAAAGGGCGGGGAGTTAGGGGTTGGGCAGGGGGCTAAGGAGAGAGGTGATGTTCAGGAACAGTTGTTGGGAACAATGAAAAAGCTGGCCAAAGC